CCTAATTTCATTCTCCCCTCCCCCCCACCTCTGTTGTTGCGTGGCCGAGCCCAGTATAGTCCGCGGGTACAGGGAGCTTTTGTTTCCTGTACCCGGCCGGACTAAAAGGAAGTGCACACTCAGTGTGTACTTCCTGTTAATCCGGCCGGGTACAGGAGACAGATGCTCCCTGTACCCGCGGACCATAGAGCGCTTGGCCACGCTACAGTGAGGGAGTGACAGGAGGGAGCACTGAGTGCTTCCCTCCTGTCAGCCCCTCTCCTCAGGCTGCGCCCGGGTGGTGTGCCCTTATGGACGCACCGCCCGGGCAAAGCTGCAGCCGCCTGAGGCTCTCTACAGAGCGCTCGGGCGGCCGCAGCATGGGGGGGCCGGCACTCCTGGTCATGGCACCCCCCACCCCCCACCCTGGTGGCACTACCCCCCTTAGTACGCCACTGAGTAGACATACCACAAGACTCAGCCAGGCAGGGCAAAATCACTACAATGACAAAAGACATATAAAAAAGGGAAGTGCAGCAGCAAGAGTAATTTTAATTTTCTTTGTTCTGTTTTTATTAATCACCAGATTTTAGAATACTTTTAGAAATATAGAAAAAAGATTTGAATTTGAAGGCAAGTTGCATCTGAAGAGTTAGCAGACATGGTCTTCAACCTCATCCAGGCAGGGTAGAACCACTATAAAGAAAGGCAGGCAGGGTGGAATCACTATAATCAAAGGCATTTTAAAAATGGGTGAGCAGAACCAGCAGCAGTAGCAATGTCATTTAAAATGTAATTAATTTATTTTTTATTTTCGGCCAGGTTTTAGAATTCTTTTAGAAATATTGAAACTTGAGTGGTGAGTAAAAAAATTGATCTCGCCTAGAAGATGATAACAACTCAAGTAATAAACTGAAGAGCAGCATAACATAACATGATTTACATTGAACATGAAGAATACGATTTGATCCAAAAGTTGTGGGGACATTTGTGAGTGTTGTGGATTCAGAATGTTCATTGTAACAGAAATCACTTGCTCATTTTGGAAACAGGTTGGTGGACATAACAATAGCTGCTGGGTAACCAGACATAGAGCAAGCTACACAAGTATTCTCTTGTCTTGTCATGCCAGTAGCTCAGAAAGTCAGCAGTACATAGATCTTAGAGGTAAACTCTGACTATTTCAGAGGCACTACTCTCCTTTTGGCTACTTGGTGATTCACTTGCTCGCACAAAACTGCCATAAAGTCTTTGTCCAAAATGCAGATGCTCTACTCTGTTGTGTTATGGTTGTGTTGCTACTGCTGGGAGTAGCAGCCATCTTAGGTTCAATCTACAAATTGCCCTGCATGCCTTGCTTTTTCTGCAAATCACAGAAGTCAACAAACCTTGGCCTGCACAATGTCAGGCTGTTAGATCAGAGTGTCAGTTTTCTCCTAATCCTAGGGTCACAGAGGGAAACTAGCATTAATTCAGGGCAATTATCAACTCATTCATGCAGACAATTTCATGCTTTGAGTAGATCTTCCAACCTCCTGACCACTGCTGCATCTCTCTGAAGTCTGTTGGGAATGTGAAAATATGTAACCTGCTACTGACATGCTGTCAGAGATTTTGCTGTTTGTCCGCCATCTTAGAGTATTATCAAAGAAGAAGAAGAATACTTACTTGAAGAATAGTGATGTCCCGAACGGTTCGCCATGGATGGCGAACATATGCGCTGTTCGGTCCGCCCCCTATTTGTCATCATTGAGTAAACTTTGACCCTGTACCTCACAGTCAGCAGACACATTCTAGCCAATCAGCAGCAGACCCTCCCTCCCAGACCCTCCCACCTCCTGGACAGCATCCATTTTACATTCATTGTGAAGCTGCATTCTTAGTGAGCTGTCCAGAAGGAGGGAGGGTCTGGGAGGGAGGGTCTGCTGCTGATTGGCTGGAATGTGTCTGCTGACTGTGAGGTACAGGGTCAAAGTTTACTCAATGATGACGAATAGGGGGCGGACTGAACTGCACATATGTTCGCCATCCGTGGCGAACCGTTCAGCGAACCGTTCGGGACATTACTATTGAATAATTATATGCTGTTTTTTTACTAACTGTTTCTCTTTACAAGTTAATTTCTGTGAAGACTGTTTCTTGAACTGTAACAGGAAAATATATTTTGCCAGTGTCCTGTTAGCCTTTGCCGGAGGGTGGGGGGGGGGGAGATGTGTGATCAGCTCTAGAAGAGAAAGTTCAGGTTTGGAATTTTACTGCTTGCTGACATAACAGCACACATCTACAAAGAAACACCCTGCAGAGCTTTGACCATGTTAACAGCTCTGTTGGTGATCACAAACCGAACATGCAGGTTAATACCCGCCTGCTCTCCCAACCAATTTGCTATACTTCAACTGATTGCTTGCAAGATGTTTTCTAAAGTTTGTCATCAAGGAGAGGAAGTCATGCTCGCTACTAGAAGAACTCCACAAATCTGTAGTACAATGCTCCTCATTCAATATTACCATACAGGAACAGTACAATTATAGGACTATGTTCCTGCTGAAATTGATTAGTGAGGGAATTACATATTGAGGAGCAAATGCCTGTATCAGATGCTGATCTTCTCTTCTATCATGGAAAAAAAGCGACGGCAATCAGTTGTCCAATTAGGAGGATGATTTTGTTAATCTGCTGTTTTGGCATAGTCATGGAATGAAATTGAATATAATCATAGAAATGGTCTGTGTGCAGTGTGCCTGTCCTCTTAAACCTAGAATGTTTACATTGCAGTGCTATTACTGCCTCTAGATGCTGTCTTCCAGACAGCCACTAGAGACAGTTCCTGCATTTTCACGGCTTTTAAATCAGTGAAATGACGTTGGGCATGTATTCAAAATCTCTATAGGAAAGCATTGCTTCAATACTTTCCTATGGGGAAGTTCTAATTTGCGCACAAGGTCCTCCATCAGCATGATGGCGTTGGATGAGAAGGTGCCACTAAGGTAAGTGTTAAAAGTGTTTTTAACCCTTTCAACAAGGGGGGCACATGGAGGTAGATGGACACCATAGCGTTAGGAATACAGTTTTAGATTTCTATCGTGTTCCTTTAAGAGTGGGCTGGTGGAAACGTCCCTGGGATGATGAGGAGCCAGACTGTCCCTGGCCAACATGCCTCTGTCAACCACTGCCCCTATCCTTAACAATCCCCTTGTTTGTTGTGAGAATTGTGCAGAAGCAGATACGGTGCCAGTGAACCTGCTGCTGTTCTAATACTTTCTTTTTCTGCTTATTCCCTCAGTAATAAAAATGTGTGGTGTCTTTGCAATTTTCGCTTACTTGTATAACGCTGCATGCTGGGAGCCCGCACATTTATGCGAATGCCGGGGTCAGTCACGTGACCCGGCATTAAGCCACAGTACCATAATCACAATGGCAGGTGTAAATATCTCCCACGTGTGATTGTTAATTCTGATTGGAAATTATCCAATCAGAATTAAGCACAGGATTTATATACTTACCTTTCCTGTCGCGCAGTGCCCTGTTGTGGTCTTGTGATACCTGTATTGCAGTTTGCTCGTGTTTCTCTCTGGTTACCGATTATTTGGCTTGTTATTCCGATTTTCCTGTATTCTCCATTCCTTTGACCTTGGCTTGTTTCTCATTCTCCTGTTTTCTGGCTCCCTTTACTTGGCTTGTCTCCTGACTATTCTTAGTGTGCTTAATCCGGCCATTCTAAGGACCAGTATTGCACCCTTTACTTTCTGTGACCTGTTAGCGTGTTAGGATCCCGAATCGTGACATTACAACAGGGCCACCATGGAACCTGCTGACATTCCACAGCTGTTAGTGAATCAGGAGGCTAGAATGGATGGTTTAGACCACCGTATGGATCAGTTTGCCCAGGCTTTACAAACCATACTGGCTCGTACTGCCCACTTGCAACCTGCCATTCAAGAAGCTGTTGCTGCTGTGCCAGAACCCATTCCCAATCCAGTACCTGTTCCTGCTCACGTGGTTCACATGACGCCACCACAGCACTATAGCGATGATCCAGCATTGTGTCGTGGTTTCCTCAACCAAATTGATATTCATTTGGTGATGAATCCTCGTTCCTACCCCACTGATAGAACCAAAATTACTTTTTTAATTAACCACTTGTCCGGGAAAGCTTTAGCATGGGCTAATCCCATGAGGGAGAATATGTCCCCAATGTCCTTTGCAGACTTTTTGACAGCTTTCAAACGCATATTTGATCAACCTGGTAGGGTTGCTTCTGCTGGCAAAGCTCTGCTTAGGGTCCGACAAGGTAATAGATCAGTAGCGGATTATACTATTGAATTCCGCACTCTAGCAGCTGAAGTTGTTTGGAATAACGACGCCCTCGTAACAGCCTTTCAGGAGGGTTTGGCCACTTACATACTAGATGAAATAGCATCCAGGGAATTGCCTGTTCTTCTGGATGATGTAATAGATTATATCATTCTTATTGACAACCGTATTAGAGAGAGGCGTAGTCAAAGACGGATGAATACACAGGTGAAACATAGAAACATAGAAACATAGAATGTGACGACAGATAAGAACCATTTGGCCCATCTAGTCTGCCCAATTTTCTAAATACTTTCATTAGTCCCTAGTCTTATCTTACAGTTAGGATAGGCCAACATGCCTCTGTCAACCACTGCCCCTATCCTTAACAATCCCCTTGTTTGTTGTGAGAATTGTGCAGAAGCAGATACGGTGCCAGTGAACCTGCTGCTGTTCTAATACTTTCTTTTTCTGCTTATTCCCTCAGTAATAAAAATGTAAGGTGTCTTTGCAATTTTCGCTTACTTGGCACTAGTGAGATGAGCCACCATTCTGTCCTCCCTCACTTCCTTGCAGCGCAATTTGTCCTTATCAAAATGCCCTTCTTGGAGGCACTCAATATGACTCCAAACTTCAGTTAATTCATTACCTTCAACCCTTTGCCATGCAGGTAGGTTGTCATGAGTAACAGTGGAAACTGTCACAACACTAACCTCTACACCAGCACTCTCATGGGTGCTGGTGTTTCAGAACATCGTTATTGTTACTAAAATTATTTTATAACAGGGCATTGATTGATTTATTTGCACTACATGCACGTAAGCTTGAAAAGTGGGCAATTAGGATATATTTATAAAAGTGAATTTAAATTCTGTAAAATACTTACATTCAAATAAAAGGAAGATGAATGAATATTAAAATGATGTCCAGTTCTCTATTCCGAAAACCCAGGGCTTTTCATTCCTACATAAGTCCTTTAGCATCTGACTGAGCTGATTAATAGCCCTGTTCTATAAATGGTAAGTAACAACAATTGCTTTACAAGTGTGTAACTCTGATTTTTAGATTACACTATAGAATTGCATTGTATACCAGCTTCCATGAATAAAACAAGCATCAAAATAAAATTATAATATCAATTACACTTGATTTACCTACAATATCAACCAAAACAGCTATGGAGATGGTGGATAATCAATTTAGTTCAACAATCGGCAGTTGCAAACACATAATCTGTCTGAAAATATGCTGAGACATAAATGGCATTGTATTCTAATCAAACAAAGAATAAGACTAAAATTTCAAACATGTTCTCAAACCTATCTCATCTTTTAAATGTATTGATTCTTTTAAAGGATAGGGTACCATTAGGATTGACAGTAATTCCAGTATTATGCAGAGGATGATAAATGACTATTGATTGATGACTTCGCCCACCTGTTCTGTTTCCAAGTGTAATGCTGGTATTACATTTTATTTAATATCATTATATGCAAACTGACAATCTGACGCAAATGCTATATAAGATAGATTTAATTGCCATTAGTTCACTTAAGTTTTACCCTTTGATAGAATCAGAATATGGATGATTGGACAAATTAGACAAATATTTGAGGTGATAATTCAAAAGATCAACATATGATTTCAACCCATGATCAAAATTTTAAGTCAGGGATATTCAACCTGTGGCTATTTAGATATACAAGGACAGGTTGTAAAATGTAAAGAAACAGGCAGGGTATTTATTTATTTATTTTTTTAATTCTTTATTTTTGCATTGACAAAGACTGTAATACATTAACAATATGAGGCCTATGGATAAGCCACTTCGTTAAACATGGAGCGTTGTATATATGACACGTGAGGAAGGCAAAAATCTTTTACAACACATAATGCATCAAGTATAAGTGACTGGCTTGTTCAGTCTGTCATGGTTTTACAATGACATTATAATAAATGAAGCAAAACGTCCAGTATACTGGGTGCCTAGTCTCTTTGTTATGGTATGCATTACAACCTGTATAATGTACTTCTCGTACCAAGATCACATTTATCTGGGATTCGTTGATACCCGCTTATCGGGACCCTAGGGTCTCCAAGGTTAGAGTCGTCTTCGTTGATCTTAATACTGTGGTGGACCAGTGGTACAGCCTGCATCCGAGATGTGTGAATCATTATAGGTGGATGCTTCACCTAAGTACTAAGCTCTTGTTTGAGTTAGTGTTTGCCCGTTAACTGTCTATGTATGCGAAAGTCACTGATGTTTGGCTTGTGGGTAAGCTGTGTATGAAAAAGGTCCTACACAAGAGATATGACAGGAAGAGGAGATAAATAAAGAATAGAGAAAGAAGGAGAGAGAGTGGGTCGCTCCAAGGAGGGGATGAGGAGGAAGGGGAGTAGAGGGGAGGGGAACAGTGAAAGAGCGAGGAAGGGGGTAGGGGCACGAGCGGCCGGAGCTCCAGGTTCATTGTACAGGGGCGCATGCATCCCCCCGGCCCTTCTCCAATCCTAATCTGCGAATGGGCATTCCCCCCACAGAGCCCATTCTTTTCAACTTTCGTATTACCCTGCACCCTGGCAATCAGATCGTCTATTAAGTGACTGTCTTTTATCTTCCCACCGCATGGAGCGGGTGTCAGTTTTTAACCAGTTTTGTGCCGCCGCTCTCTGGGCTGCTAATGTGATTTTATTTAATAACTTTTGTTTGTTTTTGGGCCATCTCTCAATCGATCTATTCAGTAAGTATATCCATGGTGCCCAATGAAATACCTGTCTCACTACGCCCCGTACCTCCTCCCAGAAAGCCTCAATTTTGGGACAGTCCCCACCACATGTGGAGGTAGGTTCCTTTGAGGCCACAGTTCCTCCAGCACAAGTCCGTCTGCATTTTGTGCATGTGGTGTAGTTTAACCGGGGTGATAGGGCATTTTTAATGGGTACATGATTAAAAATAACATTTTGATTCATGTTCATTGTTTTTAATATACAGGGGTAAGCTAAAGCTGGTGCACTGGGCGCCTCTTACTGTGCCATACACCTGAACTACAGGAACTGCTGTGGACTGGCCATGGGAGTGTATTCAGGGCTAGTGCAAGGATTTTTGGCTACACAGGTAAAGATGAATTTTGCAGCCCCCAAAATTAATACAGGTCTGTGTGTCACTTAACCCCACTTTTGCCCCTTCTGTGTATCTTACCCCCTTTTTGCATATTGTATACCACTTTTGTAGTCTCTTACCTCCTCTTTTGAATGTCTACCCCTCTATTGCCCTATTTGTACTGCTGATTCCCACATTTGAATGTGTACCTCTTTTAGTGTATCTTATCCATCCCTTTTGCCGCTCTAGTGTGTATTACCCCCTAATGTGTCTTACACCCTCCTTTAGTGTATCTTAGTTCCTCTTTTTCCCCTCTATCTGTGTTTTTCCCTTTTAGTGTATTTTAGAGTCCACCTTAGTATGTCTCTTACATCCCCCTTGGAGTATTTCTTACACCCGCCCATTGTGTGTCGCTTACATGCTCTCTTTGTGTGTCTCTTACTCTCCCACCTTGTGTAATTGTTGTCCTCTCTCTTTTTGTAGCACTCACTAGCTGTTGTAGCATGGCCTTGATGGCTGTGGATGCCTTCCTCCATGAGTGGACCGAACATCGCAATTATGCTTTCCCTCCGTTCTTCATGCTGCCCAGAATGCTTCTCCAGGTTCATCGTCAGCGAGGTTCCCTCAGGTCTTGGAGCTGGCCATTGATGTCCCCAGGCTGCTCTCGCCCGACCATAGGCTCCTTCTGGACCTCGACGGTTGTCTTCACCCCCTGGTGAACGAAGTCCGGCTCCCCCTGTTGGCGTGTCTGATTTCTGGGGACCTAGGGATATCCCAGGACTTTTGGACTCAGCTAGATGCCTTCTGGCGGGTTCACGGGCCCCCGGCACTAGGTCAGCTTACCACTCAGCCTGGGTAGTCTCAGTTGGCTGGTGCGCGGCTCGAGAATGGATCCCGTTTCAGCCCCTGTGACAGAGGTACTTCAGTTTCTCTCGTCTATGTTCGATTCAGATCAGGCATATCGCACACTCAACGTGTACAGATCTGCCATTTCCTCCGCCCACGTGGGCTTCGATGGCTTACCGGCAGGCAAACATCCCCTGATTTTCATCCTGTCTCTAGCTGTCAGGGCTCGCGGTCTCCCCTTCCCCTACCTGTCGGCAAACGGCGTTCTCACAGTTTTATGCGCCGCTCGGAGCCCACGCATTTATGCGAACACCAGGGTCAATCACAGTGGGAGGTGTAAATATCTCCCACGTGTGATTGTTAATTCTGATTGGAAGTTATCCAATCAGAATTAAGCACAGGATTTATATACTTACCTTTCCTGTCGCTCAGTGCCCTGTTGTGGTCTTGTGATACCTGTATTGCAGTTTGCTCATGTTTCTCTCTGGTTATTATTTGGCTTGTTATTTCGATTTACCTGTATTCGCCATTCCTTTGACCTCGGCTTGTTTCTCATTCTCCTGTTTTCTGGCTCCCTTTACTTGGCTTGTCTCCTGACTATTCTTAGTGTGCTTAACCCAGCCATTCTAAGGACCGGTATTGCACCCTTTACTTTCTGTGACCTGTTAGCGTGTTAGGTTCCCGAATCGTGACACTAGCTCCACTTTGGCCCGATGGATCAAATGGATATTGTCCTCCGTGGGGGTCGATGTATCCTATTTCGGTGCCCACTCTGTTCGCGGGGCTCACACTTCTCGCCTGTGGTGGTTCAGCTTTGAACTTATGAGCAAAATATGAGCCTCCGTGTCTTGAAATAAAATTACATGGTTTTGCTATTTTATGACAAAAAAATCATGATTTTTTGAAAGACATGGAGGCGAGTATTATCCCACCCTGTTTGCTGTGGCTGCATTCTCCCTCCGTCATGTCTAGTTGGCATTTAATCTTCATTACAGTAACTTTTCTTCCAATTTTTAGGTGGTCATATCCTCCGTCAGGTTTGTACCATATAGTTTACCGTTGCCATTTCTCTCAATATATTATGATTGGGTTTTTTGTATGGCACTGTCATGTTCCCTTGATTTTACGGGTTGTAATCCCTGTCTACTTGATGTTATACTATAACTTGACTCTGTGATGTCTAACTGGGGCTACGTCCTGTCTTTCATGTTTTCCAGATTGATGTTCCCTAGGCTTGAGCTATTGGTTCTCACTCGCCTCACCATGTTCTTACTTATGGATTGGACTGCAGCTTGTGTCATTGTTGGAGATATTGGTTTGCAGCAGTTCTGATTCCTGCTTACCACTGGTCGGTTGCTGATCTGTTAATTTCGCACTGTTAATTTTTCAAAGAAAGAGGAAGCTGAAGGGTGTGCTCCTGGATTATAGGGATGGCTGCTCATCAGGGGGTGGAGCTTGAGATGTCACATGTTAGCATCCCTTTTTTTTATTATTGGTTTCTCTTTGCTGCTGTATGTTAAGTAAAGAAAAAGATATGGACAATACTCGCTTCCGTGTCTTTCATAAAATCATGACTTTTCATCACGAAATAGGAAAATCATGTAATTGCAAAGACTTCTCATTGAGCTGTATTAGGAAGTCTGTGATTGCACAGATACAGAAAATCTAAGCTGGGTTTGAAGGGAAAGGCTTGTAAAGGAAGCAGACAAGAGCTCTGTAGGTTTTGAAGTCTGATTTAGATATACCACTAATAAAAAAAATGCATAATTAAATGCATGTATGTGTTCATTGGGTGTATATCTACAAAACAGTGATTTCTTGGGGGGCGGGGGGTTATCAAGGTGTGTAGAGACATTTAGGTCTCACCTGTTAGCATTCTAAAATGTTTTGTTTGTTTTTCTTAAAATCTATTTTATGACTTACCTAACACAGTTAAAGTATTAACCCTTAGACATTGAAGTCATGGAGCTTTGGTAAATAAACAGTACAAAACGTTCTGCTCAAATCAACTGACACCATGTGAGTAGCAAAAACTATTTTATATTATATATACACATATAAAGGATTGTTGCTGTCAGGTAGGCTGCTCAAAGAAGCACTAAATACGCAGTTGACTGCAACGCTATAGATTGTGTTGAACAAAAGTAGCTAGGCCTTTAGGCTGCAGCTCATTACAGCGTCTGCCTAAGTCCTTTTAATACTTGCACCAAAAATATCTGAACGCTAGTTGTTTGCAATATACTTTTAAAAGTAACTACCCCTGTGAATCGCTTTTAACCAAAGGCATTAAAGCTAGTCTCACCTCATACATTTACAGAGCAAAGAATATATCAATCATTACCAGCTACATGTGGAGTACCTTCTTTATAGAAACATCTTTTCTTATATTTGTTACAAATGGCTGTTACACATAGTCCCAGAATGAAAAGGGCCACGCTGTGCTTGTAGGTTGAACTGATTTGTATAATTATCTTTTAAAGGTCACCACTATACTTGTGAACAACCCACACAACACTGCAGATGCTATGTGAAATGTTTAATGAAAGGCAGCAAAACAAGTAAAAGCCTTTACTGAAAACTAATGACTTTAAGGCTCTGTGTCACTGATCATTAGCAGAAAGTGAAAGATGCCTAATGGATATAGTGTCTGAACAGACATCCTAGGGGACATATAGGCACTGCATTTTCATAGGATCTTAATGAACAAATTCACATGCATAATTAAATTAAACGGATTAAATAAATCATTAAGATCGCTGCTATGAAAAGAAATTACAAAAGAATACAAGACTTCCAAAATGTAAATGAAATGCAGTTTTGTATGATATACTGTTTGTGCATAATTGTTTTTATTTCATAAAATTTGTATTACAAGTCAGAATTGAGGACAGAGATGTAAGATGTGCATACAGGGTGCCAGCAGTGGTTTATTAGAAGGACCAGAAAATATACAAACATTTATGCATAATATCCTTACATAACTAAGCACATTTGCCCACATATACACAAAGAAAACTGTGAAATCCAGGTACAAGATACCAAACCCAATCAATAAGGCAAGAGAAGCATATGTTTGGCATTTCATCGCCATCTTCCAAACTCTTTAGCATCTGGCGTGGTCACGTGAATCGGTGTGATGTCATGATCATACATAATGGGTGCAACGTCTCTGTGTCATCGGGTGCTGTTTCTAGGATAAAATAGGCACAATAAAGTTATATTGAATTTTTAAAGAGGCATAGACATAAAAAAGTAATACATTGAATCTCAGACAACATGAATATAAGAAACATAGATAATATGAAGAAAAACACCAAATCTAGTGGAAGCATGCCCCATTGTGAACATAAAACAATTCAAATAATGTGATTATATACAGAAAGCCCAAAGACAGAAACTTCTGGCTAGGGGCTACAACTAATGCCTAAGTAAGAGAGAACAAATAAGGATTAATAAATAAATGTGACTTGGTGGATGCTTATCTCACTTCCTTGTCTTTTGAAGTATGCTTTGGGTCATTGTCCATCTGTAAAGTGAAGCACTGTCCAATCAGCTAAGCTGTATTTGGCTGAATCTGAGCAGACACTATCCATATACACTTCAGAATTCATCTGGTTGCTTCTGTGTTCTGACACATCATCAATAAACACTAGTGACCCAGTGCCATTGGAAACCATACATGCCCATGCTATCACATTATCTCTACCATGTTTTACAGATGATGTGGTATGCTTTGGATAATGAGCCGTGCCAAGCCTTATCCATACTTTTTTCTTCCCATCATTCTGGTACATATTGATTTTGGTTTCATCTATTCAAAGAATGCTGTTAAAGATCTGGCCTGGCTTTCTAAGATTTTTTTTGCAAAGTCTAATCTGACTTTTCTATTGTCGAGGCCTATGAATGGTTTGCACCTTGTGGTGAACTCTCTGTATTTGCTCTTGTGAAGTCTTCTCTTTGTGGTAGACTTGGATAGTGATATGCCTAGCTCCTGGAGCATGTTCTTCACTTTGCTGGATGTTGTGAAGAGGTTTTTCTTTACCATGGAAAAAATCCAAGGATCATCCACCACCGTTGTTTTCTGTGGACATCCAGGTCTTTTGGTGTTGCTCACCAGTGCATTTTTTTTCAGAATGTGCCAAACTGTCGATTTGGCCACTGATGATGCTCTAGCTATCTCTCTGATGGATGGTTTTTTTTTTTGCAGCCTAAGAATGGCCTGTTTCTTTTGCATTGAAAGCTCCTTTGACCGCATGTTGTTGCTTCACAGCAACAGCTTCCAAATGTGAATGCCTCACCTAGAATCAACTCCAGACTTGTTACCTGCTTAATTGATGAAGAAATATTGAAGGAATAGCCTACACCTGGTCATTAAACAGCTTTTGAGTCAAAATTACTTTTGGTACCTTGAAAAAAAAAAGGGTTCTACAACTTAAAGAGATGTAAGTCCTAAACTCTTCCTCCAATTTGAATGTGAATACCCTCAAATATAAGTGACTCCACTTTAAGCCCTTATTTATTATGTAACTATAACTTGAGTTTACTTTGGTAAACAGACAAAATAACAAAGCAAAAAAATACAGGAATGAGGGCTGCACCTAAAGAATATAATAAAAAACAAAGATTCCAGATAAAAGAAATCTTAATATATATATATATATATATATATATATATATATATATATATATATATTTTCTCTCTTCCCTTACTTTTTCTTTTTCTCTGGAGGACACTGCTGATTCTCGTGAGGAAGAATTGGTTTCCCTTCTTATACTGAGGGATGACCTATTATTCTTATTACATATTCAAACGTTGAATCTTCTAATTTGAGAAGCAGATATAACAGCGTGACCTAGATGAGATCTCCTGAATGTGTGTGCTAGCTAGCCTGAATAATGCTCACCTCCCTCCCACAGGTCCCTTGACCTCCATCTAAGCAGGGAAGATATACATTTTAGTACATCTGTCATTGCCATCCTGACATCTAATCTGTAAAATGAGTGGTCATTTGATTATAAACCTTTAATATTTTTGCAGTACATCATAAATCTTTGATATAATGATGCTATACAACCTTGTTTTTGATTATGTAAATTATTAAGATTTTGAAACATTGAGAGTTTGGTGATGAGTTAGACCATTACAATGGACTCATTGATTCCTTCAAGTGTCCGTTTAACTGTAATTTCCATTTTACTTCTATAGACCACAGCATCCACTTATATCAAGACCAATCATTCTCTTCAACAGTATTATTATTATTGTGATCTTTTGTTAAGATGGCATGAATTGTACATTACAAGTTACCCTAAATGGTTTCTTTCATTACGATATAATCATTTACACTCCATTCATTTATAAAGGTTTTAAACACACCTCCACACCCTTCTGATTGGTTATCGAACAGGTAAAGGCTTTCTTGTTCAGCGAACATAATAACCTCCATGGGGATCACGTCCATCCTCTGACAAATATGGTTATTGAGACCCATGTGGGAGATACAAACATAAGGGGAACCCTGGTCATTACACTTCTTACTCCTGACAAAGGTGCACATGTCTCGCAGCGAAACGCATGTCAGGTAGTTCCTAATTTTTAAATGGGTACTTTATTTCATGTTTGTCACGTTTAGTGATTAGAGCTTGTCTGCTTGGAAGATGCTTGGATTTTTTTGATTAACCTTTTTTACTATTTTCCTCTATCTGTTAAGCTAGTTTCAAGGGGATAGAGGCTTTACCTACATAATTCTGTCTATTTCTAATATTCATGACAAGTGTCCCGCTGAAATTTGAACACTTGTTCACTATCTCTAACTGTGATTTACCCTGACATTTTTATAGGTAACACTAGGGTGTCACCAATTAGGAATATCTACTAATTTAGATATATGTCAAGTACCAATTTACACTGCCTAAATCATCCTACTGCTTTAGGATCCTAACCAGTGTTTTTATATTTAGAGTTTGTATGTACTACTTTATAGCTATACCATCTGCTTTGGCCACATTCAATAAAGCCAATTAGTGGATGATATTTTACTTGGTACACCAGGATATGGATAAGGCAGTAATTATAAATAGAGTATTAGCCTTATAAGGCTAAGTTTCACTACGTATATGTTCTTTTGATCATGTTATGATCAAAAAAGATGGAAAGGATAGGTTATAGGGGTACAACCACCTGGGGTAAAATACCAAATATGCTAGGAAACCTTCTACCTTTCCTATGGGGATGAGATTTACAATAAGTTTAGAAAGTCTTCTGTGTTAGTTGTCAGCAGCCATTGTGTCCAAATGATTGTGTAAACTGGCAGTTTGTCTGTTGCCCCAAAGTACAGATCCTCAAGGGCTCTGAGCTCTACCATCCGGGTAAACAACACCCTCATTGGTGGGCCAACAGACTGCTACCAGAAATGTGGGATAATGTGTTTGGCTATGTTTCAAAATCTAATAGTAATGAAGTCTTATAGCTAGACCTAGGGCAGTGTTATGATGTGGTAACATTGGTGCTGGCCTAAAAAGTGCTGGGGCATCCAAGAACATTTTTAGCATAGTGTGCACTTTCCGCCAGAAGAACCTCACTAGGGGACACTCTCACTAGATGTGTATTAATGTGCATGAGTAAAGAGACAGCAGAGACTGTCATGAGAAGGATTTATTCTCTAAAGATATTGGGGTGGTATGGTACCAGCATGATAATAAATTATTAAGCTGTGTCCTGTGTGTTGTTATAAAGTGAGAAATAGTGTGTCAAATTTAATATTTTTTGCCAATGTGCTGTAATGAATCTCCCCAATGGACATTGCTCAGTAACCTATGTGGGGCAGGGGGCCATTCTGTGGTTGGGATTGTAGTAGAGTACAAGTGAGATACTTTGTATGCTACCATGATTGAATTAAGGCATAAATTCTCAAAGGTGGTTAGGCCCCTTATCAGAAGTGGGTTGTCTGTATCTAAAAATATGCTTGAATGAAATCCAAGGCCCTACCATTAGTAACTCTATTGGTGTTAGCACCCCAGATGAGAGCACGACATATGTGTGGAATAACCTGGGTAAGTAGTTTGCATATTGCCTTTGATTCCAGGCACGGTGTGTATTTGTTGTTATGTATCAAGGACAGTAATGGGGAGGGGATGTTGTCAAGCTAAATTTTGCAGCATTACCGTACCAGACCTGGAGTGTGGATTTTATAAATGGGTGTAAGTGCCCCAATTTTCTACTCACCATCGGTGGGAGCCATGGGAACACAGACAGCACCTTGGTCTCCTCCAGAACCTTTCATAATTTGTTAGTATCCTGCTTCCTCCAATCCACCACTCGTAAATTTTTGGCACTTTTCCCCCCAACTAGACAGAGGTCGAGTTGACTAATAGTGAGCAATATAACTAGGTATCTAATCTTGTTCCCTACCCACTTAAAGGGAAAGCTCTGGTGGAGTGGAATGGCCCATCTGTTTGGAAGACTCACGCTCAGAATCATTGACTTACTATAATTAATCTTAAAATTTTAGTACTTTCCATATTTTGCAAAGGCCATCAGCGTAGGCTGATCTCTTGTGATGGGTATCTGTCGTTCTTATTCCCTGAACATCCATATTTAATAGTACAGACTCTTGGAAAGATTCAAGGGTAAGGACAAAGATAGGCGATAGAGGTCAAACCTGACATGTACCAATCTGATTAACAAACAGATCTGTAATGGTCCCATTGAAAACTCTTGCCATTGGGTACCAGTGCACAGCTTTA